TAATAGACATTGAGCTTCCATAAGCTCTGTTTTCTGAAAAGAGTTTATGGAACTTTGTACATCTTTCATGCTTCTAATAGACAGAACCCCATTCATCCCATTAAGGTTAGATTCAGTAAAATCTCCCTGTTCAGTTTGAGATTGACAACAGCCCTCTGGGTGCTAGTGGGATAACTGTTAGGAATTAAGTATAACTCCTGAGTTAAACAGACTTGACCAGTTCTTTGGAACTTTTGCAGATACCACCATTCATTTAGGTATGGATTGCAGGCCAACAGTGGCCAGCACTTTTCTAGATATTGAGGATAGAAGAGCAGGATGATATGATCAGTTCTGTTTAAGCAAGCAACAAATCTAAACAAATTATCTTTAAAGAAAAGAAAGTATTCATCAAAACATGCATGGGGAGGGGGCAGGAGAGATGGCCCAGAGGTTAAGAGCATTGACTGTACTTGCAGAGGACTAGGGTTTGGTCCTCAGCATCCTTATGGCAGCTAACAACCATCTGTAACTCCAGTTCCAGGGGATCTGATACTGTTTCTGGTCTCCACAGGCATTGTGTACACATGGTACACTAACATACATGCATGCAAAACACACATAAAATAAAAATAAAAAATATACTAAAAAATGCACTGGAGTTCAGAATTAAAGCCAAGAGGGTGTTGAGGTCTACAGAGGGCCTGACACCAGGACCTGGAAGGCAGGCAGCCACTCACTGAGCCTGCCTGGGATCTCTTACATATCAGCTTCCTTTTCTCCCTTTTTTTTTTTTTTAAGATGGGGGGTCTCCCTGTATCCCCAAGCTGGCCTAGAACTTGCTGTGGAGACCAGGCTGGCCTTGATCTAACAGAGATCCACCTACCTCTGCCTCCCAAGTGCTGGGATTAATGGTGTGGGTCACCACACCCGGCTTTCTTCCTTTCTATAGCAATAGATCTAGCCCTAGACAATACCCCACCCAGCTCTAGTGCTGAATTCTGAGCAGCCTCTCCCACCTCAGTGTTTGGCTGTGAAAAATATTTCTTTGTATCCATATATATATATTCATATATGTACGTATATATGCACACACATATATGTGTATATATGTATGGGGAGAGAGAGGGGAGAGAGAGAGAGAGAGAGAGAGAGAGAGAGAGAGAGAGAGAGAGAGTGATAGTTGCCCTGAAGCCCTGATGGGC